TCGATCTTTGCAACGCGGCTTTCGCGGAATCGTCACGAGATCGTGGAAGAGTCTCGAGATCGTTGCGTTTGCTCTATCGACTCGCGATTGCTTATCAATCGAGAATAATCAATTAAGAAACGCCGGTTGCGCTCGATCGCATACTTTTATGAGAATGCGATCGAGTCGATGGAATTATCATCAATGGCGATCTATATTCGCGGTCGATACACACTTTTTCATCGCCCGATTTCCAGTTCTCAGAGAGATTGCCGGGAGAGACGCAAATACATCTGCGATGCATCGTCGATCGCGTGCCACGCACTTAAATCCGTTTTTTCCGAGAATCGGAAGGCCGTTCATCGAACGCTAATTCGATTAACACCGTGAATCCATTGTCGAAGCTCCAAGAAAACTCCAAGCGTCAATCTTCTCTAAAGGAGTTCAAATAAATTTTCGATATACTAAAATGATTGATTTGTAAATCAGTGATCGTACCCTTTGGTTTTGTATCCTAATTAGCACAAAGTGCACTTTTTCGCAATTTCCATTATCTTCACATTGAAGAGATATCATTGAATTACTAAGAATTACAAGTAAGAAGTAAACAAAAAGTGATGAACAAAAGCGTTCTAAAATCGGTATTAAACGTGCGAGCAAAATATGAGAAATAATTAACATACAAAGCAAATTAATAGATATTAAAAAAGTAGATGTAGATATTTTATCATAAAGGACAGAAACAGATTTTATCATATGTTGCAATTGCCCTTTGAATGTTTCGTTCAAATATTTTTCTTCAATATACGAGCGCAATTCGATTATCGCACGCGCGACGAGAAATTGCATTTCACGGTTGCGAATAACGGTTTTGCTATTAATCACATCTTTAACGATGTACTTCTTTTAACGTTAAACGTTGATCGTCTCGTTCCGATCGTTCCTCGTCGATTATTAAGATGCTATTCCACGTTATCATTCACGTTTTAACGCTGAATGCAGCCTGTTCGATGGCGAGGAGCGCGAGGCTCGGTTTCGCGAGCGTGTCTCTCGTGTGCTCGGTAATTCCTGCAATAACCGAAAATAATAATACGGCAGACGACACCGTAAATGGCAGCGATAGCGCAATAACGGCGTGATACCAATTGACAGCGATGCTTCGATAACGTGGATATTAACGCACGAAGGAGGTCACCAGATGCGAGAACGAAGGATAACGACGAGTCTCCAGCGTCCACTCCGGCCCTTGCATCGTGATGCGATTTTGCTTTAATTAACTTTAACAAAATCTCCCAAAAGATATAAGCTGAAAGAACAATCCACTTGCCAACAATCCACATTATATTTGAGCTGAAGATTGAAATTAGAACGGTTGTTTATCATTCGGCCACATCCATCTTTTCAGGATATTTAAAAAGGATCGTATAGTATCATAGAGTATAGTAAGATAATCTGCGGATTATTGCGTCATGCGAAATGTAAAGAGTTCATCTGAAAAATTCTACTTCGATTCCACCGACGCCAGGAATAATCTCGATCCTTTCCAAATACTTTGAGTATTTAATTGAGTAATTAAATCTTTCGTCCGAGCCAAACTCGAATACGCGCTTTTCCTTCTCCCAATATTAAAAATAAGAAATAAAGATTAAAAATACGGTTTATCAAGATTATTAATTTTTCAGAAATTTTTCTCGAAAATATTTTCATTTTCTTTCGCACGTGTCTATTTTATATTTACCTCCACGGTGTACGATTAGCGTACGATTTTTTTCGACGACAGGAAGATTAACACGCGTTTAAAGGGTTACGCGCCTGCACCTGCGTGACGAGAAGACGGGCGAGCGGGGGGGGGGGATGAAAGGGGAGCCGGAGGAGCTTACACTCCAGTAGTAACAGAAAATGATTGGAAAGTCTTCCTCCGCCGTGTGAACGCCGGTGTACACGAGCGGACACGTAGGTAGAGATACCAGGCTGCCGCCGCCTTCTACGAAAGCGATTGGCGTTTGTTATTGAAGTTATTCCATCGCCTCGGGCCACAGAATG